AAGTGACCCCGGGCCACTCTGGTAGCCTAGTATATATATATCGTCACAAACAGTATATATATCGTCAAATAGAACTGCCCGGTAAACCGTAGGCAGAGAGGGAGAAGAGGACAACAAACGAGGGGCTGTGACAAATATATATATATTCTGTTTATATCACCAAACAGAACTGCCCGGCAAACCATAGGCAGAGAGGGAGAAGGGAACAACAAACAAGGGTTTGCGAGTCTTGTGACAAACTGTTTCGTCGGAGTTTCACCAACGTATCAGGAGGCTGATACGTGATGTAAAAGGTTCATTCAACTTCTTTGGCGCAAGTTTTGGCTGGCACACTTCTCTCGAAATTGTATTATTTGAATTCATAAAAAATAAAAAATCGGAAAGGTTTTTTTTTTTTTTTTTTTTTTTTTTTTTTTTTTTCCGCGCACAACACCGAGTCCTGCAGCACACCGCAGCACATGTTGACAGCACGCATGTGCAGCTGCAAGAAACCCTAAGAGAAGAGGTGAATTAGTTAAATACTTAGTAACTAACGAGTAAATACTGTAATGACTTTTTTGAAAAATTGACAGGTCATGCAGTGATCCAGATATTACCTTCTTCTCTTCCGTGAAACCCTCTGCAATCCCCTTTTCAGCTTGCGTGCTCTTGAAGAGAGGCTCCAACTGGGGCACTCTTCGAGCCAAGCTCCCTTTGGCACTTTCTCCCTAGTTTCGGCCCAGGTGGAGTCGCCATCAAGCTGTGTACGGATGTCATCAGATGCCCTAGCCTCCCTTTTCTCCTTGCCGGAGGCTTTGTCCAGTGGGACCACAATTCCATCAGGTTCCCTCTTTGGTGCGGGATGACCAGGGCCCCGCCCCTGAGATGACAGATCTTTCTGCCCAACCCCTCCTGCTGCTCCATCTTGGCGGGCAATGCGGGAGCCCGGCGCCCCCATGACAACTTCCAGCGCTGAAGCTTTAGGAGTCATTGGTGCCAAAATCTGTTGCCCGTCTGCAGGGAGACGTCGCGGCGACATAGGAGGGTTATTTGCCACGATGGCGTCTGATGTTGTTGAAGGGGCAACAGGATATGCAGGGATCCCAACCGGCACCTTGGGCCCCGACACAACAATAGAGGCCGAAGCGTATTGAGCAGAGATTACGGCAGGAGCAACTGCCGATGTCGGGATGGTCCGGACGTTCCGGAGAGGCTGCGTATCTGGAACCACCGGTTGGGATCCCTGCACAGTAACAGAGGCCAGTGTTGTCCGGGGCCCAGCATTCCCCCCCCCCCGAACTCCTCGAAAGCAACTGCCACCATTGATTCGATCAGCATCTTCTGCACAATTGGTTCCCGATTCCTGGAAACCCCGGCCAACCGCTTTGATACCCCCCAACCACCCACTTTTGGGCGCAACAGGCACGCTTCCCATGTAGCTGTAGTCGCCGTTTCTGCCCTCCGTTATGGAATCATCGTCATCCGCGCCAATCTTCCCCCCCCCGTTAAGGCTTCTGAATGTCCACTCATCAACCATGCTGACTGGATTGCAAGGCATGTCATCAGCTCCATCCCACAGAGACTCCCGGTTACAAAAGTTTGCATACCCGCCGCCAAGCTGTCTGTCGTCCACATACAGCGCATCCACTGCCAATCTATTGTCCACATACAGCGCATCCACTGCCAATCTATCGTCCACATGCGTCGCATCTACTGCCCCCGGCACTGAAGCACCATCAGCGCTGTTACCTTCATTCCCCAATACCACCACATCTGCAGAAGAAGGTCCTATACTGAATGAAAGCCAACCTAATCCTGCAGCTGGAACAGAATGCACCACACATACATGGTGGATTGGTTGATACACATACACTTGATATCCACTGTCAGAAACCAATTCAGAATCGGCAACGCACCAGTACGTTTGGGGAAACACAAAATAGGCTATCTTACTCACATGTCAGAACCAGGGTCCTCAGAGTCCGCCCGGAGATAGAAAAACCTTTTCTAGGCTAGGCTACCAGCCGGGCCGCCCGGGTCCCGGTGGCCAGCCCGTGCAAGGACCAGGGAAGGTCCCAGCAGAAGAAAAAAAAAAATCAAAAAAATCCGGAAAGAAACTATGTTATGCCGAAAAATAAACTGAACAACTTTTGCCTCAGGGTCACATCGAAATTCTGCACCAAATTTAGAAACAAAATATTTTTTTAAATATATATATGTAATGACCCGTCATCACACGGACTGTAACAGACAGCTGATTTCTGAGTTTGCTCGTGGAATGCATGCCGTACTAAGTCCCCTGCCTGTTGAGTGGGTTGTGTTGGGTCTGAGTGCGTGCCTGTATGTGGTYGGCGTGCCTGGGTGATGAATGCGTGCCTGACTGAGTGCTTGAGTGTGTGTGTGACCCCGTCGGGGCCATGGATGCTGGGCAGGCCCGGTAGGGCCGGTACTTACCTGTGGCGTGGCTTGTGAGGGGTGCAGCCAGGGA